CCGGCTCTGTTCCCTGTCTCCCCACTTCCATCCCCTGGACAAGTCTCTCCAGACTTCAAGACTCTCTCTTTCTCCTCGCACACACGTATCACTTCCACCTTCTCACACAGGTTGTCTAACTCCTAGCACAGGTTCTCAACTCTATCCAGAAGAACATAGTGTCCAGTGGAAGGAGAAAAAACTAAAGATCAGTTCAACCCCTATCCTTCAGAGGCAGTTTGAACTCCACTTTTTAATAGACGAAGAAATTGAGGCCGAGAAAGAGAAAGCAGCACTTGTCACCTCCCACTGACGGCACTGGTCAGAGCGCAGAAGCCAGACCCTAGGCCTCCTAGGGCGACGCTCCCGTTCCTTCACCCTGGTGAGGAAGTAAACCCTTCCTCCACACGCCCCAGCCCGGTTTGCTGGATCGGACCTCTGGCCCCTTCCGTATGGCGGCGGCCGCGCATTGCAGCTTGTCCTCTGGGAGTCTCGGAGAGGCCCTCCTGGGAGGGGAGAACCTGGTGGTCGGGAAGGACCAACGGAGCCAGAGGTGGGAGGGAGAGGAGAGCGGCTGCCTACCGGCCCCAAAGAACAGACTCCCAGGTGTCCTACCTCAAGGCAGCCAACAGGGGGCAGTCGGCACCGCACGGCGAGGATGAAAAGGCAGCGGGACAAGCAGAACTCCGCGCGCACGGTGCTAATAACCCCTTGTGCACCGAGGCGCTCCGGTGAGGGAAGGGAAAGAACTAGGGACTCTCGGGCCAATCCTCCTGGGGAGGGTCCTCCTTTGTGGGGCCGGGCGGGACTAAGGCTAGTAAGCCCAAGACCCGAGAACAACTGACCCTTTACTCCCCCCACACGCAGGGCACGGATCTACACACTCGGGACAGAATTTCCGCGGCCTCTCCATCGCTTGCGCGCACTCAGCATTGCCCCCTCGGAACTCCCCTGGCAGAGGCTTTCTAGAAACGAAATCTCCATTATCAGGCTGGAGCAGCCTGAATATTGGCGGGAGGGCAGGGTCTGTAGGTGTGATCCCAACCCAGCCTCCAAGTGACTTCCCAAACATCGAGTTGTCCATTTAAAGACGCAAGAGGAGAAGGCGCCCCGATGCCAAACTGGAATTGTA